GCCTTATAGAGTGTCTTACATTGTCACCTACTGCTGCGCTTTAAGTACACAAAAGACTTAACAAATTTTACAGTAAACCTGTTTAAACAGTTAAACTTTACTGTGTGTGATCAGTTTGATTTGTTGGTTTTCCTATTAAAAAAATAAATAAATAAAAACCTCATTTGAAATTTTACCTCAGCCTCAATTTGTTCTTATTTTGTTCTTATTTTTAAAGCAATTTCAGCCTCAGTGTTCTTATCAATTGTGTTCTTACAAAAAAAAGTGTATGGGAATTGTTCGTAGGCCTATCGAGCGATCTTCATAAGAAACTCTATATTACTGTACTCCAGATAGGTCTGCGTTGTTCATCAAACCTACGTAGAAAGAAACGCTTTACACGTAAATCCTATGTTAAACGTGCTTTAATAAAGTAATGCTGCCTCATCATGTATCTCGATAAATATATAGGCATAGAGAGACAATCTGAAGCATCTTAAAACTTTTCAGGATTTGTTCTCCGTGTTTTTTTTAGAATATAGGCTTACTTAGGCCCATTTATTGATTGGTTAAACAAGCTCATTCTTTTCATACTTCTATTAAATTCTATTAATCGTGTTTGTGAACGTATCAATGTTAACTCGCCGGCATATGGACGAATACCGCTGACCTAAAAGCGTACACTGTATGTTCCAATATTTTTTTGTTTTGTTTATCACCTTTTTTGGAAGTTGAAACTCTATTAGATATAGGCTTAATCCAATCTTTGGGACAATATTCTTAACAGCTAATATGCGGGTGTAAAGGTGTGTTAACATAATTTTCTGACATAACATAACCACAACGGCCCTATATAGTTTTTATTTAAAATATGTTTAAATATTGTTATAATCCAGATAAATACACCCGTGAATTAAACTCAATAGTACCTCATCTAAGTTTAAAATATATGTAACGTATTTAAAATATGTTCTTTATTTCTAGCTTTTCAAAATAAAAAAATCTCATTTGACATTTTACCTCAGCCTCAATTTGTTCTTATTTTGTTCTTAATTTTTAAGCAATTTCAGCCTCAGTGTTCTCATAACATGTGTTCTTATAGAAAAAAAATTGTATAAGAATAGACCCGTGAGTCAGAATACAGAAAAAAACAAAACACAATCTCCGACAAACCGAGCACTGCCATTAAAAATGCTATTATGTTGTCTGGGCAGCTAAATAACGGAATTTATATTATTATTTGGAGAAATTATGTTTATGTAATAATAACAATTAAAAAATATTATTGGAATTACGATAAAGGCACTGGAATATTATATCTTCCTATAGGCCAAAAATTTAAAATGTCGTTTTTGTGATACGTTAATGTTCCTTATTCGAGATGTGTATTCTAATTAATGGAATACATAACCAGAACATTAGATCCAAGTTTAAAAACTCAGATAAAACACGTTCATTAAGAGTTTGCTTTCTTAACGGTTAAAAGCTCCATGTGTCCAACAAATTTCCCAACGAGCTGGCATCCACAGACCGGTGCTAGGCCTACTAGGAAGAAAAACAAAATATGTGTTGAAAAGTTGATTGTGTGTGGGCTAGTGTGTGGAGTGGTCCAAGCTGCGGTGTTAAACTCAACAGTAGTCCCACCTCGTCCAAGGTTATCCAAAGCGCTCGATATGAAACAATTTGTAAGCCCTGGATTTCCAGAGTGTGAATTTTATTTCTGAAAAGTGCTTTACACTAAATTAAAATTAAAATTGATCATATATATTTCACATTTACCAGATCAAATCGTCAATTTAGAGATGATTGGATGTATTATGTTCATTGCGAGGCTTATTGGGAGTTAAGAACTGAGTAAAAATGAGTAAAAAAATATTCATTTGTTTCCAGGACAACGGGATTAAAGTGGCCATAGGCTCTTAAATATCAAACAAAAATATAGAGAATTTATAACTAATTAAAGCCAGGTTCAAGAGAAAATTGACACGTTGTATAAATTAATAATAATAAGACAGTCAAGGGTTGTTTGAAGAAATTATCAGGAATGGCTAATAAAGATACAAGCACTTCAATTTAAAATTACTAAATGCTCAAAATTTTTTTTGTCTCGGTTTCAGAATCAAGCCAGAAATGCGTCAACTGGGCAAACAATTCAAAGTATAAAAATTACAATTTATATATAATACTGTCCTTTGGAGAAATATATATAAATGCTAAGAATATTTCAACTCTATCAGAAAAGTGTATTTATTATATTTCTATCTTTTACTTTCTATTTTTTTTTTAAATGCGGGCTGAGTACTTGTAAGGGTTTTGGTTCCCGGTGGGTCGTCATATCACACAATTTCTATATTTTATTCCAGCAAACTAACATTGAGGGCGCAGTGACGAAACTCAGACACAGCAGTAACGGTACTTGAGACTAATTAAACGAACTATGCCTGAAGATAGGCCAAATCATCAACACATTGACTATACACTATAAGAAGAGAAAGAAACAATGAGTAAACAAATGAATACGGTGATAAAATTAGAGGTCACGAAATCATTTACAATTTTATTCACTTGCATAGTAATCATCCTAATAATATCCCAACAGAGGGACTACTTTATACCTAATTAAAATATTACATAGTAATAAATTCATTGGCAAATTCAAAGCCACATTATAGCACAATTCAAACAATTATTCTTTCGCCATTAAAATTATGTTTATATTTAAAAAAAAATGGTAAACTCTCATTATGTCGGGTTGTATATTGAACCACAGGTACAGGATACACATGTTTGTGTGTTGCTGTAGTTTTACGTATTATCAATGTAATGTGTATTTCTATCCAGTGGTTTGAATTATATTAAACAGTGTTATTTCTTTAATTTCATAGATGCTTATTAATGAAGTACTGAACAATATCTCTGATAAATTAGTACCATAATTATTTAATACTGTACAGTAAATACTTCCATAAATACACCCACTCCAACTTGGAAGGTTTTTGTGACGCAGGCCTACAGTAGCTATTGATTTAAAAGTCAATTATTGAGTAATTCTCTTTTATATTCATGTCTTATTACTATGTTTTTTTTTTCTCATCGTAATTTGGATGCCTAACCGCCGGATGATGACTGCAACAGTACCCACCGATTCCCCAATCAAGTAGAGTTACATAGCGCCCCCTATGCTATCAGTCTTTTGTAGAAGTACGTACAGTACTGTTAGTCTTTGATCGGACTGAATCATAGGCCTACAGTATTAATCCTAATAATTAATACCGGTATATGCAGCACCCTGCGGCAGTACATTCGGTGTATTATAAGATATCCGAAACGAGCCTCTAAAGTAGTGTCATTAGAAAATAGACGTAGGCCTACAGAACTTTGCAACCCCAATTTCATATACATTGCATAATTACACATAAGCCCCTTAGTACAAATACCATTTAGCTATGATACATATTTATTTCATATACCTTATAGCGTGTATTTAATAGACACAATCGGTGCTTCCAATGTAGTATGTGACGTTTAGTTGGTATAACACACATTGCGATCAGTATAAAAGTATAGGAACAAGAAATGTTATGATGAATTTCAAAAACAATGCCTCAAACGATAATATGCAAAATATTACCGGTATACGGCAAGGAAAGGCAGTATAATTCATATTGCTGTTACTCACTCACAAGCGTGCTCATTTTAGGCTGTAGAAACCACGTAATTCTTAGTGTGCCTAAATATATTCAAGAATCGTCGTGTGTCCCACACGAATGAGTGGGAATCATGACCTAGTGCCCAATCTGGTCGAAGAAAGGAGGCCTACGCTTCTTGATAAACGTCAAGATCTTGGTCAGTGTTGTAGCATTAGCAAACCATTCTGACAATGTACGTTCTTAGTTTCCAGGACCACAATGAAAAACATTTCTTTAAAATGATTGTGTCATCCTGGCTAAAGATATTAGTATTAGTAATATTATTAGTTAAAATTACAAGTTATTTACAGTATATTTCGCTGGAGTCCTAACCAACGTCAAGTAACAGAATTATTCTGAATCTTTTTCTCATACTGTTTATAATAACATTCATTCATTTAACTTAAACTGAACACATTAATGTTGACGCCAACTATATTTCACGTGACTGGTTACCGATTGTGTCTACTAGAAAAAAAACCCACTTAAAACGAACACGCGCGTGCACTTCACATGCACGAGTACAGTACGTTACAAGTCTTGCCAAGATTGAGGTACAATTGCGGTGACAATAAACGTTACAATGTCGCATCCTTTCAAAACAACTATAAGAAGTGTCACAGAAAACAAAAGAAAATAAATCGGCTCTTCGGTCGGCGTATTTTGTCTCCTTTCCCGCCGTTCTTTCATTCGTTTCCGCCAATCGTGTCGCTGGCGCCGTATTTTATCAAGTCTCTCCTGAGCCCGATTAAACATCTGTATAAACGGTGTGTCAAGGGTTCTATTCTCTGTTATCGTCATATTCCAACTTGGAGTGTGGAACGTAATGTTAAACTTGTTGGCCCATCTGGAGAACACGGCCTTCTCCGTCAGGAATTTATGTCCCGTATCTAAACGACGTTCACTACGTATGTAGTAATCGCATTCTCTTTTACCATGCTCGTTGTAATAATGATACGGAATATGGTCAGACGAATTACTAAAATACAAACGGAAGACTGTTATTGTTACATAATTGAAAATGGTAAAGAGGAATATGCAAGTGTGAAAAGTCGCTCAATCAGATTCGAACCCGAGAACTTCTGCTGTCTATACAGATGCTCAGCCAACTATGTCACCAAGGCTTTCGTTGGAAGTTCGAATCCGATTGAGGGATTTTTTTAGGGTCCCAAATGATCAGCTTCTGCTCGATGGATCACCCTCATTAAATATGGTTCAAATAAAATTTGGTTCAAAGTGATATACCCTCTTCTTGAACGACAAGATGGGATCTCCTTAGATAAACGTGTTATATAAATGTTATAGGCCTGTGTAAACAGACAAACAAACCGTTTTGCTTGTGTAATGTTATAAAAAGTTAATCTCGGAGAAGCATGGCACCGGTCGCCCGGCCTCACAATGAGTTCGTCAGACGAATAATACCAATTTGCAGATCCAAAGAAAATTATTGTGATTACCATTCTTTAATACTTGTGATCTAAATCAAATTATTGGGCCATCTTAAGCTACAAAGTCTCTTCCCATTAACCCCATCAGGAATTGGGACCATAGCGGAAGGTACAGGCGGCACTGGTTCAGAATGATCCCTGTAGGAGGGCCCCCCTTTCGGCAAATTCTTGGAGCTGGATATTTCCTGCGACACCTTCATCGACATACATAATTCGCAACTTTTTACAAAGCAGTTACGTGACACCACGTTCAGCACATGTTATAATTATTCTTACCTGCA